CTCCTCTTGGATAACAGTGATACTTGCTGCAAGCGTCTAATAGAGCTTGAAATTACCCTGGCAAGTTGTTTACTCTTCTTGAGAGTGGCACTAGGCTCTGAGCAGTGTTTGTCTAGCACCGTCATTATTTTTATTAACTACACCTTTGCACTTCCAAAGTGTGCTGTAAGCTCTGTAAATATTTTATTAGCTTTTGTAATTAGTCATTGCATCTCACAGCCCCACTGAGAAGTGGGTCAGTGTGACAATCCCCATTTTACCACTAATGTGGAAGACAGCCACCCAGAGATGGGAAAGAGGCCTTGGATTTGAGGGAAGAGGTACAGTTCTTTCTTTCAAGGGAAGGCAGGGACTTTGCTAGAGTTTATAGGAGTCTGATGGTGTGCAAATACTGAATAAGAAGAACAACTATCCGTCCCCTGCAAATGGATGAAATTTCCCTACACAGGAAGATGTTGAGAACAGGGTTTAAAAAAATAGGAAAAGTGGCTAATGCATGGAAGCTGCTATCTCATAGTAGCCACCCAAGAACCCCAGTTCCCCTTGCTCTCCCTTTCTTGCCTTCTCATTACTACCTAAAGCTTGATTTATTTGCCTTTGGAGGGGGATGGGGAGCAGGAAGAAACAAAGACAGCTACAGTCTTCAAGGAGTGTGGTCCAAGAATGTGACCTGTAAAATCCTTTATTGGAGATAGTTTGTTTTCTTTTGTGGTCAAGTATATGTTGATTTCTAAACATGTTTTCCAGGGTAACAAAATCATAGAGAGCTATTAAGTTAGCTTGTTGGTTATAATATTTAAATCCTTTCTACATTGCTTGTTTTTAATGCCTTAATATACCAAATAATGAAAGATGTAATAAAACCTTCTACTATCATTGTGATTGTATAAAATTCTCCTTATATTTCTAGGAGTTTTTGCTCTATAGTTTACTATTATATTTTTGAATGCACAAAGGTCTGTAGCTCTTTTATTATCCTCAAGGATTATTTCTTTTATCATAAACAATCTAGTTCTTTTCTTCAATTCATGGTGTAAGCCTCAAATTAAGTTTTATAGTAACTTGTCATCTTTCTTGTTTTTTAATTGTTTGCATTTGCCTGGTATATCTTTGATCATTAAAATCAAGATTAAAATAAACATTTCTTTTTTTTTTTATTTAAGTATGTCTCATATACTTTATATAGATGCAAATTTTGTGGGGTTTTATTGTAGCCTGAGAGTCCTTTTCTTTTTTTTAAAAAAAAAGGAGAAGTCAACTTATTTATGATTATTAGTTTAAATGGTATATATTTTTTCCTTTTGTTCATGTTTTCTATTTATTATACTTGTTGCTACTGATTTATATATATATATATTTTTAGTATGGTGCTTGACTGAGTTTTTTTTCTATACTACCACCCCCGCCCCCACTACCACCATTAATTTCCAACTGTTATTATGCTTCTCCATTTTGCTTGTGGGTTCCTCCCTATCTTCATTACCATATTTAAGCCTATATTTCCCATTGATATATGAGATGAAACTATGGCCATTCTCTCCCCAACAAGACATTTTGCCAGCCCAATCCCCTTTACCACTCCTTGTGACGGAAACTTTGGAGCATTTCTTACTTATTATAGCATTTCTTTCCTCCTTCAACTTTCAATTTTGCTAAGAAATTATCAATTCTAAACCATTAGTTTTCCTTTTCAAGTATTTATCTACTGTTGCAAAAAGTCTGCATTTACACTTTGCATTTCCTTGTTGCAGTATCATCTTCCATTTAGATCTTTTTTAGAAAGATCTAAAAAGATCTTTCTTATAAATTTCATCTTTTTTAGAAAGTATCTTTCCATTTTGCATTTGTTTAAAAGTTTTTAATCATTTTAGACTTTTCTTGGGTTTGCCAAGAAAGCAAAGGCTGACTGAGACAATGATCCAGAGGATGGCGTGAGTGTCCAGACGGTGACAGTGGGAAGGAGGAAGATAGGACAAAGATGCACTATTGCTCAGCCATGACTATAGGTGACTTGTTTGCTCTATCCAGGGAGATTGCCATGAATCCTCTCTCAAAACTGTCTGTCCAGAGGAAGAAAGAGGATGTGTTTATCCACCAGCTCAGGACTCTCCACTGGTCAAAAGTTTGCCTTCTGGAGTGTTAACTCCCTTGCATTTCCAGGTTGCACAGATGTGAGAAGTGAGTGGGTTCCCACAGTGGCTCCTGCATGGGATTTCACAGAGAAGCCCAAGGGCATGAAGTCAGAAGTGCAGAGCATGGATCTGAGGCAAGACACTGTCAGGTTACACCTGCAGGAAGCTGGTCAGATCCTGTGTAGAATTGGTTACCACAGCTAAGGTTTGAATAACACAGGTGAAGTAGAGACAATCTGAAGCAGTACACAGAGGGTTTACAGTGCAAGTGTAGTGCCTACAAATAGTTACACAGTCAAATCATATCGAAAGATTTAGAATAAAGAATTACAATTCTCCTGCAACCCATCCAGTCCCCAAGCCCACTTCCTAGAAGCAATTTATTTTTGCCTCCTTGAACTGTTTTCTCCTGATATTAACCTGCATATTTCTAAGTAATTTTATATTGCCAGTGTTTAGAATCTACTGATTCCCTGTAAAAATGATTCAAAATTTCATAGTAATATCACCAAAGGCCACTTCTCTGCTCCCATCCTTCTAAATGCTAACTAGTTTTTTTTAATAAAGTCAATGTTTACATTATTGTGCCTATGTAAATGACATTCACAGTGGAAAGTAGAGTATTATATTTTTTCCTGTACTCTTTTTCATTTTTCTGAAGTTAATGGTCACCTGGTTTTATTCATTGACCTGCGTTTTTTAATGTACCTATATTTTTTCCCACACGCTGCATCTGATCTATCACACCAGTGTTTTCTTTTGGAATGCTCCATCATATCAGATGACCTTTAAGTAAATAGTTCCCTTTTATTCCCTTTAGATCCCTCTTTTGGAGCCTTGGCTCTTCTGCGATCTGAGAGGGCTGGTTCCCTAGACTCGCTACAAAATCCTTAGCAAGAGACTTCCCTTTGTGGTATTTTCTGTTGGAGACCATTTCTTGGACTCTATGTCTTCCTGTTTCTTGGTTTACTCCCTTAATTTACTACAATACATCCAGCAGTTATCTCCCACAAAAGAATGCCTTATGGGTTCTGTTTTTCAATCCATGCCTTTATTTCTCCTTCACACTTAAATACTTTGACTGCCTCTAGAATTATAGGTGAATTTGGAAGATGTTTTTTCTGTCTTCTAACATCCAGAATTGCCCTTAGGAAGACCCATCCCTGACATTCTGACTTTTAGTTTTCTATCTTTCTCTCTCTCTCTCTCTCTCTCTCTCTCTCTGGAAGAGTTTTGGAGTTCTGATATACCTGTGATATTCTGTAATCTCACAGTTTCATATTGGAGAGGATACTTTTTCACTCATTGTATTGAGCCCAATCTAGGCCCTTTCAATGTAAAAGAAATGTGTCTCTGTTTTTTAGCCATTTTCTTTTAACTATATGCTCTTTTTCTGGAACTCATCAATTTGATGCTGAATGCCTTAAATTTATTCTCTGTGTATTTTATCATTTTTCTATTTTTTCCATCATCTTTTTCCCAATTTCCTATGCATGTTTTATACATGTGACATTTTCTTTCATTTCTTCTCTTATTCAGCTTTTATAATAAGCACTTAAGAGGCACTCTATAACTGGTTAAGTAAATGTACTTCTCTGGGGATAATATAATTATTTTTATTATTTTGGAGTTTTCTTCTGTTTTGGGTATTGTCTTTTATATACAGACTCTTTTTAATTTCTTACTTTTATTTGATATCTTTCTTCATATACGAGGTTAAGCCAGTTAAAATTGGGCTTGGCGCAGAGCAATTAGGCAAGAAAAAGAAATGAAGGGCATCCAAATAAACAGTTAAAAATAAGTAAGTCAAATTAGCCTTGTGCACAGATGACATGATCTTATGCCTACAAAAACCTAAAGACTCCACCAAAAAACTATTAGAACTGATAAACAAATTCAGTAAAGCTGCAGGATACAAAATCAACATACGAAAATTAGTAGCAATTACATATACCAACAGCAAACAATCTGAAAAAGAAATCAAGAACACAATCCCATTTAGAATAGCTACAAAAATATAAAATACCTAGGAATCAATGTAACCAAATAAGTGAAAGATCTCTACAAGAAAAACTATAGAACTCTCGTGAAAGAAAAAGAAGAGGGCACAAAAGAATGAAAAGATATTCCATGCTCATGGATTGAAAGAATTAATATTGACAATACTACTAAAATGACAATACTAGCCAAAGTAATCTAAAGATTGAATGCAATTCCTATTTAAATATCAATGACATTCTTTACAAAAATAGAAAACAATATTCCTGAAATTTGTGTGGAACTAAAAAAGAGCCAAAGCAATCCTGAGCAAAAAGGATAAAGCTAACGGTTCATACTGCCTAACTCCAAATTTTACCACAAAGTTATAGTAACCAAAACAGCATGGCATTTGGCATAAAAACAGACACACAGAGCAATGGAATAGAATAAAGAACCCTGACATAAATCCACACATTTACAGCCTACTCATCTTTGACAAAGGTGCGAAAAACAGTCTTTCCAATCAATGATGCTGGGAAACTGGATAACTATACGCCAAGAATGAACTAGATTCATATCTCTCACCATACACACAGACACAAATCAAAATGGAACCAAAATGGATTAAAACCTTGAATCTAAGACCTCAAAGTATGAAGCTACTAGAAGGAAACATTGGGGAAATGCTCCAGGACATTGGTGTAGGCAAAAATTTTTGTGTAAGACCTCAAAAGCAGAGGCAACCAAAGCAAAAATAGCCAATTGAGATTATATCAAGCTAAAAAGCTTCTGCACAGCAAAGGAAATAATCAACAAAATGAAGCGATAACCCACAGGATGGAAGAAATGTTTGCAAACTATCCATCTGACAAAGGATTCATACCCAGAATTCACAAGGAGTTCAAACAACTCAACAGCAAAAAACAAAACAAAACAAAACTCCACAAATCATCCAATTTTAAAATGAGCAAAAGGAGGAGGCAGAGCAAGATGGCCAAACAGAAGCCTACACCATTTGTCACCCCTGTAGGAGCACCAAATTTTAACAACTAGCTACACACAAAAAGCATCATCACAAGAATTAAAAATCAGGTGAAAAAATCACAGTACCTGGTTTAGCTTCATATCACTGAAAGAATTATTGAAGAGAGCAGGAAAGACAGTCTTGAAGTGCTGATGCCACCTGTTCCCCATTCCTCAGAAGTGGCTGCATGGTGTGGAGAATCTGTGTGCTTTGAAGAGGGAGAGTGTGGTGATTATGAGGCTTTGCATTGAACTCAGTGCTGCCCCATCACAGTGGAAAGCACAACTGGGCTGTACTCAGCTGACATCTGCCCACAGAGGGAGCATTTGGACTTGCCCTAACCAGAGGGGAATTACCTATCCCAGCATCAGAACTTGAGTTCCTAAAAGCCCTGCCACTGTGTGCTGGAGTGCTCTGGGGTCCTAAGTGAACTTGAGGGGCAGTCTAGGCCACAGGTATTGCAATTCCTATGCAAGTCCCAGCGCTGAGCTGGGCTCAGAGCCAGTGGACTTGGTGGGCAGGGCACACAAGCTACTGAGACACCAGCCAGCGTGGCTAAGAGAGGGCTTGTTCCACCCCTCCCTCACCCTCTGCTAGCAGCCATGCAGTGCAAAGAAATCTGTGCACTTGGAGAAGGAGAGCACAGTGACTAGGGAACTTTACATTGAACTCAGTGCTGCCCTGTCACAGTAGAGACCTGGTAGGATTCACCAACTGCTGACCAAAGAGCCCCTGGGCCCTGAATAGCCAACAGTACACTGGCAATACGCTGTGGACCTTGGGATCTGAGACTTACTGGCTTCAGGTGTGATCCAGAACATTCACACCTGTGGTGGCTATGGTGCAAGACTCCTTTTGTTTGAGAAAATCAGGTGAAAAGTAAAGAGCACTGTCTTGCACCCTGGGTAACAACTTGGCCACAGGTGGGTAGAGCACCAAGTAGGTTCTTAGGGTACCAAGTCCAGGCCTAGGCTCTTGGTCAGCATTTCCGTACCTGCCCTGGGCCAGAGGGGAGCTTGCTGCCCTAAAAGTTGAGTCCTAGGCAGCATTCATCATAAGCTGACTGAAGAGTCCTTGGGCTTTAGGTAAACATTGGCAGTGCCCTAGCAGACTGTCCTATGGGTCAGTGCTCATGGTGGCCACTGGAGAGGAGGCTCCTCTGCTTTTGGAAAGGGGAAGGAAGAGTGGAAAGGACTTTGTTTTGTGGTTTGAGTGCCAGTTTAGCTGCAGTAAAATAGAACACCAGGTAAATTTCTAGGATTCCTAGAGAGCATTTCTGGAATTCTGAGGCCTGTGGGCACTCGCCACCCTGAAGGGAGGGACACAAACCTGGCTGGCTTTGCCACCTACTCATTGTAGAGCCCTAGGGCCCTGAGTGAACCAGGTGGTTACAGTGAGCTTTGGGCAAAACCCAGTGCTGTGCTGGCTTCAGGTCTGAACCAGCACTAACCCTGTCATGGTAGTGATAGGAGTGCTTGTGTTCCTCCCACCCCCAGTTCCAGGAGGCTCAGATCAAAGACAGAGACTCTGTTTGTTTGGGAGAGAGTAAGGAAAAAGAAAAAGAGTCTCTGCCTGGTAATCCAGATAATTCTTCTGGAAATATCCCACACCACCAAGGTGATACCTGTATAAGTCTGCAAGGTGATACCTGTATAAGTCTGCAAGGTGATACCTGTATAAGTCTGCAAGAACCAAGAACTTGGGTTGGGGCCCAAGTTCCTTCAAATACCTGGAAAGCCTGGAAGGACAGGCACAAGTAGTCCCAGACTGTGAAGACTACAATAAATGCCTAACTCTTCAATACCCAGACACTGATGAACAAGTATAAGCATCAAGGCCATGGAGGAAAACATGATCTCACCAAATGAACTAAGTAAGGCACCAGGGACCAATCCTCAAGGAACAGAGATATGTGACCTTTCAGACAGATATTTTAAAGTTAGTATTTTAAGGAAACTCAAAGAAATTCAAGAAAACACAGAGAAAGAATTCAGATTTCTATCAGATAAATTTAACAAAGAGATTGAAATAATTTAAAAGAATCAAGCAGAAATTCTAGAGTTGAAAATGCAATGGACATACCAAAGAATGCATTAGAGTCTCTTAATAGCAGAATTGATCAAGCAGAAGAAAGAATTAGTAAGCTTGAAGACAGACTATTTGAAAATACACAGTCAGAGGAGACAAAAGAAAAAGGAATAAAAAAGAATAAAGCATGCCTATAAGAATTAGCAAATAGGCTCAATAGGGCAAATTGAAGAGTTATTGGCCTTAAAGAGGAGGTAGAGAATGATAGAGGTAGAAAGTTTATTCAACAGATATTAGATAATTTTCCAAACCTACAGAAAGATATCAATATTGAAGTACAAGAAGGTTATAGAACACCAAGCCGATTTAACCCAAAAAAGTCTACCTCAATGCATTTATCAAGCTCCCAAAGGTAAAAGATAAAGAAAGGATCCTAAAGGCACCAGGAGAAAATAAACAAATAACATAAAATGGGGCTCCAATATGTCTGGCAGCAGACTTTTCAGTGGAGACCTTACAGACCAGGAGAGAGTGGCATGACACATATACAGTGCTGAAGGAAAAAAAAATCTTTTACCCTATAATAGTATATCCAGTGAAAACATCCTTTAAACTGAAAGGAGAAATACAGACTTTCCCAGATAAACAAAAGCTGAGGAATTTTATTAACATCAGACCTGTCCTACAAAAAAATGCTAAAGGGAGTTCTTCAACCTGAAAAAAAAGGATGCTAATGAGCAATAAAAATCATCTGAAGGTACAAAACTCGCTGGTAATAACATACAGGAAAACACAGATTATTATAACACTGTAATTGTGGCGTGTAAAATACTCAAGTAGAAAGGCTAAATGATGAACCAATAAAAAATAATAACTAAAACAACTTTTCAATACATAGTATAGTAAGACATAAAGAGAAACAACAAGAAGTTAAAAAGTGGGGGAACAAAGTTAAAGTGTATAGTTTTTAATAGTTTTCCTGGTGCTTATTTGTTTATGCAAACTGTGGTAAGTTGACATCAGTTTAAAATAATGGTTTATAAGATCGTATTTGGAAGCCTCTTGGCAACCTCAAGTGAAAAAATCATACAATGAATAGACAAAATACAAAAAGCTAGAAATAAAATCATTTAGAGAAAAATCACCTTCACTAAAAGGAAGACAGAAAGGAAGGAAGAAGGAAAGAGAAGATGACAAAGCCACCAGAAAACAAATAACAAAATGGCAGGAGTAAGTCCTTACTTGTCAATAATAACATTGAATGTAAATGGACTACACTCTGTAATCAAAAGACAGAGTGGCTGAGTGGATTAAACATGCACACGTGTACACACACACACATATACACACACACACGACCCAATGATCTGTTGCCTACAAGAAACACACTTCACCCATAAATATACACATAGACTGAAAATAAAGGGATGGAAAAAGATTTTCCATGCCAGTGGAAAACAAAAAATAGCAGGACTAGCTAAACTTAGACAAAATGGATTAGATTTCAAGACAAAGACTGTAAGAAGATACAAAGGTCATTATATAACGATAAAAGAGTCAATTCAGAATGTAAATATAATAATTGTAAATAAAAATGCACCCAGCACTGGAGCACCCAGATATATAAAGCAATATTATTAGACCTAAAGAGAGAGAGAAGCCTCAATACAATAATAGTTGGAAATTTCAACACCCCACTTTCAGCATTGGACAGATCTTCCAGACAGAAAATCAATGAAGAAACATCAGACTTAATCTGCACTACAGAACAAATGGATCTAATGGATATTTACAGAACATTTCATGCAACAGCTACAGAATTCACATTCTTCTCCTCAGCACATAGATAATTCTCAAAGATAGCCCATATGTTGGGTCACATAACAAGTTTTGAAACAGTCAAAAAATGGAAATAATATCAAGCATCTTCTCTAACCACAATGGAATAAAACTAGAAAACAATAACAAGAGGAATTTTGGAAACTATACAAATACATGGAAATTAAACAATATGCTCCTGAATGAAGAAATTAAGAAGGAAATTGAAAAATTTCTTGAAACAAATGTTAATGAAAACATAGCAACACTGATGGAATACAGTGAAAATAGTATTAGAAAGGAAATTTATAGCTGTAGGTGCTTACATCAAAAAAGAAGAAAAACTTCAAATGAGTAACATAACAATGCATCTTAACTAAAAAAGCAAGAGCAAACCAAATCCAAAATCAGCAGAAGAAAAGAAATAATAAAGATCAATGGATTTGAAATGAAGAAAACAATATAAAACATCAGTGAAATGAAAAATTATTTTTTTGAAAAGAAAAATAAAATTGACAAACCTTGAGCCAGACTAAGAAAAAAAGAGAGAAGACCCTACTAAATAAAATCAGAGATGAAAAAAGAGACATTACAACTGATACTGCAGAAATTTCAAGGATCATTAGTGGCTACTATAAGCAACTGTAGGCCAACAAATTGGTAAATCTAGATAAAATGGATAGATTCCTAGACACATACAACCTACCAAGATTGAACCATGAAGAAATCTAAAACCTGAACAAACCAATAATAAGTAAAAAGATCAAAGCCATAATAAAAAGTCTCCCAGTAAAGAAAAGCCCAGGACTTGATGGCTTCACTGCTGAATTCTGTCCAAACATTTAAAAAAGAACTAATACCAGTTCTCTATTCCAAAAAATAAGGGAGAGGGGAATACTTCCAAACTTATTCTATGAGTCCAATATTACCCTCATACTAAAACCAGACAAAGACACATCAAAAAACAAAAACTACAGGCCCATATCCAGCCTCTGGTAACCAACCACTAGTCTACTCTGCTTCTATGAGTTTGACTTTTTTAGATTCCACATGTAAGTGAGATCATGTGATATCTGTTCTTTCTATGCCTGTTGGTCAAAGGATACAAAATTTCCATTAGATGACAGGAATAAGCTCAAGAAATCTATTGTACAACATACTGACCGCAGTTAACGCCAATATGTTATAAACTTGAAAAATTACTGAGAGTAGATTTTGCGTGCTAACCACAAAAATGTGATACATACATGAGGTAATGCATCTGTTAATTAGTTTGATTTTGCCATCCCACAATGTATACACAAATCAAAACATCATGTTGTAAACCATACATTCATTTATTTGTCAACAAAAAAGAAAATA